ATGGGTGTCGAAGCGGGTCCGTGGTTTAGGTTCGGGTTGAATCCATATTGACCCAAGTTTAAACATGTTGGTTGATCCTAACCCGACCCGATTTTGTAAATGGGTCAAAATTGTCAATCTGAACCCAACCAGCGTAGGTTACCAGGTTGACCCGATACTACCAGCCAACCAGCTATTTTCAAATTCTGATTTAATTTAAAATGTTGGGCATGTTAGGCAAAGCATCAGGTCATGCCGAATTGGACCACAGGCTAGCGGACCTAAACTAGGATCAAGTTCGGGTAGATTACAAGTTATTAGGTCAACCCGAACTCGACCCGATTTTAGAATCGGGTAACAATTTTGAACCTAAACTCAATCCGTCTAAGAAATTGGTTGATCAAAACTCGAAATTTTTTTGGGTCGGTTTTGGGGGTCGTGCAATTATAATGAATAGGTGAAATGCATGAAATATTAAAATTTTTAGTGACTGGTATTTAAAAATATGATATAAAGTGGTATTTATGTAAATCCCTTTTTTTAGCAAATTGTAAGAAGTTGTCTTTAAAACTATGCATTTTAGACTATAATTATAGTTTTTATTTTGTTATTATGTTATTTTTTATTTTTAACAAATTTTGTGCTAAGAATTATTTTTTATATAATAGGCTTCTACTAACCATCTTGTACAAAAAAAATAAAAACACCCAATGGATCTATGAGTATCATTTAATTATTTATAAATAAAAAATATTTTAATGTATGATAATATTCCTTTATCAATGTGTTTATTAATTCTAATTTTTTCTAGCATAGTGCAATAATATATAAATATTATATATATATATATACTTAGTCTCATTTGATATTTGTAAAAAAAAATTAATTATGATATTATTTTATTGAAAGAATTAATATAAGTATAAAATATTATTATGCATTTTAATATCAAATAATTAAATTTTATATTATTCATATATATTCATATTAATTTTCCCTAAATAAATTAAAAATCAAAATTATTTATAATTTAGTTAAAAAAATACAACCATTTTCTCTATATAATGTTGACTATAATTTATATTCAAAGTGAATATATACAAATATAAAAAATCATGTCATTTACTTATAATTATATTAAATTATTATTTTAAAGTGATTTAAATATTTGAATATTTATAAATAAATATAACCAAGTTAAAAATAGGATATATATAAATTACATGCAAATTTTATAGTATTTATGTAAATTCCACTTTTTATTTTTATTGTAAAAATAAATGTTAATTTTATTTAATTTATAACATTTTTATGTTACTTAAAGTCAATTTTATATTCTAATTAAACCTCTTTTTTTTTCTAAAACAAACTTTGTTTTAAAAAATAACAAATATATATACATAGGTAGAGAAGAATCTACTGCAACAAGCAGTAGATTTTACACTGTTCATACTGAAGAGCAGAACCAAATTGTAAGTCTAATTTTCATATCGTATCACTCCTAATTTTCATATTATCTCATATATTGGAGAGATTATTCAGTGCAGATATCGGATGGGGAGAATCATCCAGTTTTATCTCAATGAACAATAAAAACACAGTGAGTTGCATTTTTACTGTTCACAGAGACAAAACCGGACAGACAGGTCTCCCCATCCGGTGTCCGCACAGAATAATTCATCCATATATTGACACTCATCTAAGAATTTCTCATTTTCGGATCGTATCATATATTGACACCCCTAATAATAATAAAAAATTTATTTCATATAACAAATCTCAAAGGAAAGCAAACCAACAATCCCAAGTCAACCATAAATCATCATAATTTCTTCAATAAACTAACCAAGCTTTTCAAAAAACATAGAATGCAGCTTTGCATGCTAACTACAGCTGATTCCTTCAGAGTTAATCAACAAATTAAGGTTTCATTTAGGACAGCTTTCTTACTGCTTCTTAAAACAGTTTTCTAGTACAAAAATTTTAAAAGTTATTTTACGAAGTAAAAAAGCCGTCCCAAACGAAACCTAAATCTCAAAAAACAACCTACTTATGGGAAACTGATGTCACAATAAGATATAATTCAGCTAAAACTATCAAAATTGAGCATTCCTACTTGGCATTCCTACTTGGTATTCAATTTTCATGTATCTGCCAAAATCACCCAAACCTCCAATGAGAGCTTGGAAAGTGCATGGAACCTGCAATTTAAGCATAACAGCCAAAAAAAAAAAAATCATGAATATGAGAAATTTTCATTGATGAATACATGAAATGGGAGGAAAATATCTTCTTACATTATACAGCAGCGATTAGTAATCACTTATTGCTTTCTTTGGATTTCTAAGTTCAGCTGAACCGTAAAAACAGATCCTTGTTCTACCTTGAAGAATTCTTTCATTGAAGTGAACTCTATATAAGTCCCAGAATTCAGCACTGTCATGATAATTTGAGGAAAAAATATAAGAATAAGATTTATAATTATGCTTTTAAAAATACCTAATAGCTACTACCAAAATAATAAGGCTTTGTTTGCAACAGCTTTTTTTATACTTTTTAAAACAGCTTTTTAGTACAAAAATTTCGTAAATTAGAAATTTTTATACTACCGTTTTAAAAAGAAGCAAAAAAAGCTATCCCAAACGAAGCCTAAGAGAACTCCCTTACCTAACTTGCGGAAGGGTAAGAAGAGAATAGCCCTTGGCATCGCTTCGCATGTCGAGGATGATCACGGCTAAGCGTGAAAGAATTAAAGCATCCATATCAACTAACTTCTTTATCCTATAAGAAAAAAAATACAATTTGAGATTAACAATATAGAAGCAAAAGAAAACAAATAAATTGAAGAAGCTTAGAAAACTGAAATCTTAACTAAAAATCATAGCACTGATAGCAAACCTCACAGTACATTGTCTCCCAATCCTAAATTTGGTACCACTCTAAATAAATTCTTACAACTACCAGCGTTTACAATTAGAGTGACAATATATGATTTTACTTGAGAATTCATATTGAAGAGCTCTGCCTTTTTTTGTTCCTCGTCATGTGCAATTAAGAATAACACTTCAACAGCTTTAGCCTTCTCCATAGCCAGTAGTTCTACCACTTTATTAGTTGTCATAGTGAGAGCTTTCTTGACCTCCTATTTTAAGGGAGGCGCAATTTTTAGCAATTCTAGTCTCAGATGCCCTGCATCTTGTACTGAGAGCGGTGGAGTCTTTGCCTATGCATCTTCTCTTTCTCAAACTTCTCTACTTTAAAAGAACTCGCGACTTTTCTGTTGTGGATGGCCTGATTTTCTCTTCAATAACTATACTCATAGCAACAGTGCTACGGAAATCATAAAGATAAACTTTTCCCAGAGATTCCCAAGGCAATGATCTACATATAGAACACTAGAGTCCTCCTTAGGAGAAATTATTCTATGCAGAGGCCGGACGCAGAACGCCCTCCGGAGACCAAACATAATGTGCCATGTCAGCGGTACCAAGCCGCAGTACCGAGCCGCAATACCGAGCGAATGGCTGACGTGGTGCATTCTGATTGGTCTCCAGACAGTGCCCGGCGTCCGCACATAATAATTAATCCCTGCATAGATTGCTCATACTTTTGGGACGACTTTATTTGCATAAGGCTTCTGTTTGGGACGACTTTATTTGCTTCTTAAAGTAGTTTTCTAGTATAGATATTTTAATTTTTGTGCTACAAAGCTGCTTTATGAAGCAATAAGAAAGCCCTCCCAGACAAAACCTAAGTTAATATTAAGAAGAAAACCAACGAAGCTAGGTCTAAAAATGGAGGGAAAAAAAGAACCACATGCGATACCTGCTTGGTGTACCACTTGCAATATTCACTCGGTTCCTTAGCAATTCAACCTACGAAGAAGCAAGGTTGAACAACTTATAGTGAAATTCACTAGAAAAAAAAAATCATCGATAACAATTACAAATGTACTGTAACTGATACAGCTCAATATAGAAAAAATTGGATCACTATATAATTTGAATTCTAAGCACACATCAAAGGAGTTTTTAAGTCATTCGTCCTTTAAACTGCTTTAACACAGTTCCTATAGGAAAATTTAAGGTTCCTAAGAACATAACACTGCATATTCAATATAATCAGTTTGACAATTCTAATCAACAAACCATACAAAGAAAAATGAACAAACTATTTAAGGTTAGCTATCTTTTTCCCTAGTTCTTTAGCATTAATGCTTCCTTAGTTCTTTGACTGATCTGTTACCAACCAAATCGTTTAAAGTGACCTGAACAAGTCATAAATAGAACTCTATACAACAACAACATCAAGCATTTGTCCCACTAAGTGGGGTCGGTTACATGAATCCTTTTTCACCATTGTGTTCTGTTAAAAGTCAAATTCTCATTTAAATCTAATAATAAAGAAATATCATTTCTAATATTTTCTAACCAAGTCTTTTTAGGTCTATCTATAGTTCTATACCTTTCTTAACATAAGTCAAATCTAATACCTCAACTTTATTAATCGGGTCATCAGAAGGCCTCCGTTTAATGTGACCAAACCATCCTAGGCGACTCTCTCTAATCTTATCTTTCATTGGAGGCTACTCAACCTTTTTCACATATAATGCTCATTTCCGTATCTATCTCTAAGGGTAAGCCGCTCATCCACCTAAGGCATCCTCATCTCTGCACACTTAACTTAGTATTATGCTTCTTCTTTTAATTAGACATAAATTAGAACTCTATAACAAATAAAATTGAATGGTTTAATTAGAGAACCTAATCTTAGTAGTTTGTCAGTACATCCTATTAAATATATTAAGAACAAAGGTGAAGCGTATTAAATACAAAAGGTGCCAAAAAGGTTCCATTACGGCCTCAAGACACCCAAGAAAAAATATTATATTATCATACACCACACAATACAGATATGACTATATTATGCAGAATGTAATTAAAAAAAATAAGCAAATATCGTTAATGGTATATGTATGAATTATATGTAGTTTTGTTCAGTACATTCAAACTCTGAGAATAAGGGTTTTAATCACACACAAATATTTTATTCATCTTGACCAAGCTCTTCACGTCAATGTTTTTATTAAGTTATAGTCATAGTATTCCATATAAATTTTGAAATTTATAAGTAAGGGAAACCTGCTCTTCCTTTCATATGCCCTTTGCAAAAAGCTTTGCTGGACGGCATTTTTTTGGTATATCTTTCAAGCTCTATAAGATGAGAAACAAGTTAAAATAGGAAGAATAAATGGAAAAATTAGCAATATATCTTAATTGAATGCTCTAGAACTACCAGGCAAGCATAGGAGGAATATTCAGAAACCATCTATCTCATGTATACTACTAGAAACGTTAACCATCTATGCATCTATATGTTATCTCTTTGTGAGCTTTTTTTTGGCTTTGTATTCTTAATATTCTTTACGCATTAGTTTTAAGCATCAACATCTGAGGTAATATCGAGCAAAATAATAAGCAAAAGCATAGAATTCTATAGGCTAAGCTCAACAAAAATCTATGGTGACATCAGAGCGTGAACAAGTATAATCAGAGGCGAGGCCGTCGTCTACGACCACGATCGAGTCCGTATGTATTTTTGAGTAATTTCCATGTTTTGTCTTTTATTATGTTATTTGTTCTCTTATTATTTTATGTTGGTACTTGTTTTTTTTCGTTTTACCCTTACTTAAGGGAGGGTTGTACGTAAGCCCTAAGGGCATTGTCATCTTTTTTTATTTTGAAGTCTTTTTGGTACGAGGCAATAATAGACTTATGTTTCTCTTCTAAGGTTAATGGTTGAATGAATAAAAAATTTCCCCGTTGGTTTGAAGTTCTTATGAGAGCTTGAGAGATTAGAGCGAGATCCTTTGGGAGGGAAATTCTTGGATCACCCACAACATTGGAGCGACGGTTTGTGGTTCCTTGTTTTTATCTATTTTCCCTTTCCTTCGTCACCTAGCGCCGGCGCACCTAACCCTCCACTCACCACCGCAAGCCGCGACCTTCATAACCCCACCATCCCTCCACGAAACTCCCCACAAACTACCAAGCGTGGCCCTCTACACCTCCCATCTTCCTCCACAAATTCACTCCCGTCTGGAATACTTTTCCATACGAGCAACCATCTAAGTTAGGAAAGGTTTAAATTTCAAAATTCAAAATTTTTGAATTTGGGACAAATTCTTTCCCTAATTTAAAGAAAGCTTTTTAGGAAATTTTCAAACCTTCTATTTGATTTTATTTAATTTAGCAATGAAATATTATTCAAATCTCATTATCAATTTTAAGGAGCATTTAAGCTTCCTTAATGTCCCTCCCTAGCCCCCTTGCTGCGCTCTTAATAAATCCTTTTAGGATTATTTTCAAAACCATTAGCCCTCTTGAAATAATTCCTAATTCCTCCTCCACCTCCTTGCCGAAAACTCCTAACCCCACCTATTTGATTTATTTCCAAAAGGAGAAGCTCTCTGATGACGCCTTAGGGTTCCCAATGTTAGGGATTTGCCCTAAGGCTCTTCCCAAGCTGAACGCCCAGCTCAGGGCTGACCCGAGCAAACCCGGTCCCCAGAAATGGACCGGTTTACCGCTCAAGCCGGAAGCCCCCCGCCGCTCTGAGTCTACGCGCTGCGCCCGAGCGTCTCCGGCGATTCCCTCGGCGGGTCGGCCCGACGCGTCCCGCCTTTTTTCGGTCGCTTTTCGAGCTCGCCGGGGTCGCCGGCCCTCCTTCTGCCGGTCGGCGGCGGCCGCATCAATACTTCCTCAACTTTAAAATTAACCTTGTTCCTCAAGGTTAAAGAATGTAGATTCTCGGTGGTCGAAACCCACATAGGCTAGGGTCACCCTGTAGTGCCACCCCTCCGACCATTACTGTTTGTATTTAACAACAACTTTCTCCAATTGACCTCCATGTCCCAGGACTGAGCACTGCATTACCAAGATGGGTCGGCGTTTTCCAGATCAATCAGCAGAAAAAATCTTGAGTAACTACCTCCCTTGTTAAGGATAATATGACTCCCTTGCATTTCCGCATAAATACGGGCCTTCTGTCCTGTTGCATAATGGTCACCTCTTACTTCCCTTACTTGCTATCATCCTCAAAAGACTCAACTGTTCCGCCACTCGGATTAGGCCAAGGAGTTGTGAGTGGCTTCCACTGTCAAACAAACTTCACCTTTACCCTTCAATTTCCCCCTCCTCCACCTTCATGGTGGGATGGAATGGTAAACCTTTCCATCGAATTCAGACTCACTTCTATCATATCTAGGTGAGGATGCTCTACTTCCATAGCTTTTCCCATTGTTGCCCTTCATCTGTGTCCCCAATCTGAATCTCCCCACTATCACGTGTAGGGTTCTTCTCTTTAACACCATGCCCAGGTGCAAAAATTTCTGTCGCAACGGTAAGCAGAGGCCCTTGACCCTCTTCTCCTTCAATTCGGCAGTCAGTCAGTCTTCTTGAACCTCCTTGGTTTATCACAGTGGTGGCTTTTCTCTGTTTTACTTCCTCTAGAATGAGTAGTTTGGCAGTCACCTTAGGTCCTTCGACGCATGAGTGGTGAGGCGATACGTGGGGTGAGATCCCCTGATTTCCGTGTCTGGATCCGCTTCTGCTTGTCCTCAACAAGATGAAGCTGTTTCATAATTTCCCTAATCCACGTGGGTTGACACCTGAGCGGCTCTTGATGTAGGGGTTTCAAACCCTTTCAATGAAAATTCCCCTCCATGGCGTCATCGGGCAGTTCCCTCAATCGCCCAGATAGAAGCTCAAGCGATCCCGGTATCTGCCCAACTGTGCTTCCTGAACAAGAGACATGAACTGTTCATCAAGGGTGCCCCTCCTGGACACTCTTGAAACTGTGCAGTAATAGGTCCTTTTGAACTCTTCCAATTCGTATAGGTTGTCCCCCTCAATCCATTGGAACGCAAGCCAATGATTTCCCCTCCAAGCAAATCGGGACAAGCCATCAGCTTTTTGCTCCTCCGTGACGCCGTTAACGGCGAACATAATCGCTCACGCGTCGGTAGACCATACCGTATGCATCTTCCCCTTCGAATGCGGGGATCTTCAATTTTCCTCATCGTGTATCTGCCGAGGAAGATTCTGCCATCTTCCATGGCCATGCGAAATCCTCCCACTGAGGTCTTTCCCTCCAACTCCCTGGTAACGGGCGTTCCTGACCCCCCTCTTGGTGGCTCCCAAGGGGCTCGGCCCCCCTCGTGTGGAGCCTCCCGGTTGTCTCCGGCCAACCGCCCCCGACCTCTCCTGTGGCTTCGGCCCAACTCCGGCGGCCTCCTGGACCTTCTCGACCACCTCCTTGTGGGCTTCCCAAGTGGTGCGACCATCTCTTGGCACTCCTCGGGCCTCAATCGGCCACCTCCATACGGACCGTGAGGGTCACGTTACGGCTATTCCCCTTGGCCGGCGGTCCCTCCCACGGGTGCACCCCCACGGCCGGATGCCTCCCAACCCTTCCCTTGACCAAGGCTCTTTGGCGGCGAGATGTGGAGGTGGTGCTTGGCATGGCTTCCCCCGGTTGGCTTGCTCATCTTTCCCTAATTGGGGAAATTAGGGTTAGGGTTTGACATCGGCGATTTCCCCTTTTCCTTAGAATTTGATTGAGCAACTTGGGCTTCTACAATTTGCGAATCATCTCTCCATTCCGGCCAATCTCTTTCTAAGGATGAAAATTTTTTCCTCTCGCATGATGAGAGTTTCTCACCCACCTCCCTCTTTCAATGGACCCATCTTCTCCCTCCAAAACTTTCTACTTTCTTTGAAGACGGCCATGCTTCTATGGATCAAGAGCTGCTGATACAAATTGATAGCGCCTTAGGGTTCCCAAGTTGGATTTGCCTAATGCTCTTCCAAAGAAGAAAATTTTCTCTCCAAATCCAAGACGAAAATCACACAAGAGAGATGAGAAGGAAGAACAAGAAAATTTGCATCAAAATCCATAGAGAAACAAGATACAATTTGTCACTTCCGAGAAGGACAAGGTCCTCCCACTACAGAACCCTAAAAAAAACAGAGAAAGAACTTAAGAGGCTAAGAGAAAACTTCAATCTTTTCAATAACCCTATAAATCCCCTCCCGATTTTTTTTTTTTTTTTTCCCATTATAGCAAGCAAAGATCATAACCAAACCAATAGTGGGCTGCCCCCAAGCTGAACCGCCCAGTCAAGGGCTGATCCCGAGCCAAACCGGTCCCCAGAAATGGACGGTTCCGCTCAAGCCGAAGCCCCGCCCGCTCTGCGTCACGCGCTGCGCCCGGCGTCCCTCCGCTGCGATCCCTCGGCGTCAGCCGGACGCGTCCCGCGTTTCCCGGGTCGCTTTTCGAGCTCGCGGGGTCGCCGGCCCTCCTTCTGCGGTCGGCGGCGGCCGCATACTTCTCCTTTTTGAAATAAAATAAAGCCTTCACCTCCTCTAATATCGGCAGGCGCCCTCTCCTTCCGCTCCTATCCGCCCCCCTCTCTCTCTCAAATTTCCCTCCCCCACATTAAATCCTCTCCCCTTTTGCATCCCAATCAAGGTTCTCCACAAAGATTTTGACAAGGGATCTCCTTCATCCTTTCTCCACCATTTGAAGGCTTGAAAGAACGTCTTTCTTTCAAGGGAAATCTTTAAGGAAGATAAAAGAACGTCGTCTACAACACATCAATCCTACGAACGTGATGCATGGCCGATCCAGATCTTGATTACGGCATTGCCTACGACGAACAAGGGTTCGTTCACATCCTTCACTCCACTTTCTTTGACGTCAATCCAAATATTGACCACACTGTCGAATAGTACGTGGAGCGCATTCTAGATAATCTCACTGAAGTCGTAGAGGAGCAACTTGGTACCATTCAGTGGTGGATTACGTCCAAACCATGACAAAAGTCTTCCAATCCTCCTACTCTTGTACTTTCTTAGTTTAACTCTCTCTTGTGGTTTGATTTGATTCATAAAGGTCTTGTTCACCTATCTCTGCCAAGCTTAGTAATCATAGAAACTGAGTTAGCTTTATATGCTTCTAATCTTATTATTAGTGTAGGAATTTTGTTGAAAGCTACTACATTTGCTTACTATTGAGATTCTGAGTTATTTAATAATTCAAGCGTTTGGCAAGTGGCTTAGCCTAAACGTAGACACCCTTATCTTATTTTCTTTTGTTGTTTTGTCGTTTTATTCAAGAAATCATGCAAATTATTATCGCATACAATTAAAACATTTTAGTCATGCATCAAAATCTCTCCTTGCATTGACACATCACTTCAGCCTAGCACCTATAAGATTGAAATATTCATTTTCAAAATGTCACATTATAAATATAATTTTATTGTTGACATGACTCATCAACTTTTTTATACACAATCAATCCATCTTGTTGTTGTTCTTTTCATTTAAAATTTAAACAAGTATGTTGACATATATATTTATATATATAGTGAGAAAAATAATCTATATTTGATGATTTGTTTATGTTAATTGGGTGTATCTTAGAATAATGTACTCATTTCCTTATTATAAATAGAAGGGATCAATATTAAATACTACACAACAAAAATATCCCTCTGCATTAATATGAAACCAGAACTAGGATGTAACAGTGACACTATTTGTAGTAACAAACCTCGACAACCTTTCCTCTTTATGAATTGTGACTTATTCTCCCTGACACACCGTCATTGGTGTCCACTCCGACCCAATCCCAACGCAAACCAAACATCACACCACATATGATAGCATCTGCAAGAGGTTGTACCCTGTTGTATGCTTTTTGCTGATGATATTCTTCTTGTTGATGAGACTAGAGAGGGAGTTGAAGGCAAACTTGAATTATGGAGGTCAACCTTAGATTCTTAAGGCTTTCGTTTGAGTATATCTAAAACTGAATATATGGAGTGTAATTTTAGTAACAATAGATTTAGTGAGGGGATTGTGACTTTGGTTGATCAAGTCATTAATAAGAGTACATGTTTTATATATCTAGGGTCTATTGTTACTAAAATTATTATTCTTAGTTAATAGAGTTATGAAGCTTCAAAAGATTGATATGGAGATGAAATTAATTCTTGTATAAAGGAAGTATTCTCATTACCCCAATCATTCTTCATGACATGCAAATTAAATTACTACATAATATCACCTTCTTTATTTAGTACAAAGCTAAATTAGAAATCAATATATAATGTAAAGTTGAACTTATAAAATTCCATGTGCTACTGTTAAATTGATAAAATTTTGAATATAGAAGCATCAATTGGTAACATTTCTCAGCTAAAATAGTGCACAAATTTTGTTTTAATCGTTTTTTACATTAAAAGAAAATTAAATCACTTAATTACATAGTCAAATATTTCATTATCTTAAACTCAAAATAATTTTTTGTTGTTTTGATATACTTTGGAAAATTATAATAGAAACATATACTTGATATGCTTGCATTTTTACTAGTATTGCAAAACGTCAAAAAAAAAAAAAAACATATAGTATGTGTTACCTGAGAAGTTCCAATGACTTCAACGCAGAGACGCTTATAATAAGCACTGCTGGACTTCCTGGTTCAATTGTTCCTTCTGAAAGCTTTCCATCACAAAGAACCTCTTGCCATGATTCTCCAAAAGCATCCTTAATATGTTTACTTATGTTGTTTGCATCCTGATTGATATCCTTAGAGAGTTCAACCATGCATGTATCTGCATGTTTCAAATCACAATCATAAATGTTAGAGCATCTTTATGAAAACATTAACCTTAATAGTTTATACAACCAAATTAGTAGTTTTTAAATTCAAATCCTTTTGACACACTACCATAATAAAAAAAACATCATATTAGATGTATTTAAGAACATAAGGTTTTAAATTAGCACACATTATCGTTGAGTAAGCAAAATCCAAACAATCACAGTTGCTCGAATCATAAAGAAAAGATAAACCATTTCATATGCTAATCAATCAATAGAGTGGTCTAACTGTTTGCCATTTTTAAAAAACAAAAATACAAATAGTAAAGAAATATGATATTAGAATTTAAAAATACTTAGAAATTACATCATGGAGAAGCATGTTATCAAAATCAAGAAGTACTTGCATATCATCCGTTAACATTAACATTAGTAGAGTATAGAATTAATATAATCCAATTCCATTATGCATAGATAATTGTTTACTTCAGTAATGGCTAAATTGCAACTCTAATTTCTCTGGAAGAAGGAATAAATAACATGAATACTTGATATATGAGATATTCTCCTTGACTGAAAATGACCAATATAAATCATTTATGGAATGTATTAATCCTTAGTAAATGACATATGTTGCAAATCTATTTTCATGACTTATGTTTTGATGATTGACAAACACAGAAACACTATTGATTCTCTTGGACTGCTTACTTCTAACTTTTCAGGAATCGAAGATCGGACACGAAATAGCCAGTTCAAGAATTTCGATATGCTATGTTGAGGTTGAGTTCAGTCTACTTGTTTTTTCTCTTCTTGATCTATTTGTAATGGTCAAAGAGAACTGATTGCTAAATGATAACCCTACACAAAAACATTTGAGAGACTTAAAATTTTCTGTTTTACTATGATATCAGCCAGACGATATACACCAATCTGACACTCAGCTGAGTAAAACAGAAAGTCTAAATAAAGATTCTTATTAACAGCCTCGAGATCTTAAACAGAATGTCATTAGATGGTGGACGATCCGTATAAAAATCGGCTCAGACATTAACTCTAAAATAACACTATAGACACCATTGCCCCATAGACAATTAATATACGTATTTTTTAATAATCGGCCAGACAGATTTAATTGACTTACCTTTGTCTATCACATCATATATGCTTTCTTAACTTGATCAGATAATATTTCAAGGGAGAAATTAATTAAGGATTGATTATTAGTGACGATATATTCTCCTGACCCCGATCGGTTCCAGGAACTGTCAAGAGGACGATCTATTCCAACAAAACATTGTTACTTCAGATCATACAAAATATCCGGTACTAGCTCCCAAAAGTTCAATGCCGATGTCTGCGAAGAATTCTCTTGATGTTGAACCTGATCGCCGGACGATCGTTGAGACCGGCGCGAATTCGGAATCTAAATTTAAATCGCATGGTCCAATGTGACGAATTCAAGCCAAGCTTAAAATCGTCTCTCAGTTCTCCCCAATCATTGTCACAGAAATCGGCACATACTAATCTCCTGGCTATCTTTGAATTTGACTGATCGCCAGGCCTATGTCACATATCCGCCTGACAAATGTCCTTTAGAGGCAACTCCTCCATAATGTAACTTGTTTTGAATCTTCTATTAACTATGGCAAGGCACTTTGTAGGGTCCTTTGGCAGCACATTGTAGCTCTTTTAGGGAAACTTTGTGGAAGACGAAGAGCGTATAGTAAAGTGAGAGCACAAGAAGGTGGAGTTGATGAACGACAGAACCTTGAGGGTATAGCACTCATAGGTGTATTATGGACGGGGCGTATTTACCAACTACGAGGTGCATCTCCGCGCGAACCTCCACTTTTTAGTACCATCACACTTCCATGCTTGTCTTGTAGTAAGTTACCAAAGAAG